TTTGCCATGTATACTTTTGCACCGCAGCATATTTCAGGGTGCATGGGCAGAAAACACACAACTTCTGGTGAGCTAGAAAGAGTTCTTAACTTTCTAATGAATCAGATAAGCAGAACTGCTCTGATTTCATTGCAAGCTGTGTGTACTGTGTTCTTTTTAATTTTTATTCAGCTTTCTGAAGTTAATCTCTGTGCTCTTTCCAAATCCAGAAAGGATATTTTAGCTTCTGAATGGCATAACTTGAACTAACAAATCAAAACTTGGATAAAGTGAAAGCCAATAAAGTCAACAAACTTTTTAGGTACTGATACATGAAATACATCTCTGTTGTAGACAGCCACAAGACCACGAAATCCTTGTGATTTAAATTGTTCCGAGATGATAGTTGGAATGGTTAATTTTGCACTTGCATCGTCTGTGTGGGTGTTTGTTCCTAAATTTTTCCCAGTTACAATCTCAATTACAAACTAGTAGTATTGTATTAACATGATACTAATTTAATTATGAGAAAAAATTGATTTCTTGGAAGTTCATGACTATACTTAGAGGCTGGACTTCCAGTTTGGAAACCACTGATTTAAAGGATTCAAAAAATTTCCAGGGATTTATTTCCTGTCCAGCAGCCCATCCATACGAAGCAAACTTGACAAAACTTGATCGTTGTAACTCCTGACTGATTAACGGTTATATATGAATAGTACTTGTGGCTCTTTCACTTGTTTTCTAAAGGCTAAGTTATGCAAGCAAATTCATGAAAATACTATTTCATCAGGGCAATACTGTGTGGTGGAAAAGCTAGTATCTGCTCTCTGTTTGAATGTAGTGAAGAATGGGGGCCAAATTAATCTCACTAAGACACCTAAATTGATAACTAAATTGATCATGCTTGCATGGACAACCAGCATTCATTGACATTGCCTGAATACCAGCGATGAGTCCTATGTAAAGCTTCCTCCACACACATGTCAGAGGTGAGAGACCTGCAGGAGACCCACACCCTTCTGGAGGGGCACATATAGAGGCTGATGGGATACTCCAGGCCATCTCAAATGATCCTTACCTGTCTCCATCTCCCTGACAACCGAAAGATTTTGGTTAGTTCAACTGAATTATGTGACCTCACTCTACTAATTCCTTCTCTGATCAATAAATCAACCTTCCCTAGGATCTCTCTTATTAGCAACCCAGCTCCCTGGATGTATCTGTTGCAATAAACTGCAGCATGCTTCTTTTAAGGAAACCTGGGCATTGAAATTTGGACTTGTCTCATATTTTTTCATAGCAAGAGAATGACAAGGAACACGCAGCTTGAAGCTGTGATGGAGAATGAAAGTACTTTTGCTTTTATCTTTCCTTACTCATGACATTTAGAGGTGCATACACAAACGTGTGTATGCTTTGAACTGATATAAAACTTTTGCAGGCAGTTTTTGTGGCCTGTGGGTATCCCAGTGATGAGAATCTTAAATATATCTGTAAAAGATAATAGAATGCTAGAATGCCTTTGTTCAAATGATTGATGTGATAAAATCACTTTTTTTTTTTTTTTTCCCCTCGGTATCCTTGGCAAATTCTGAAGTGTTTAGTGAGGACAGAAATATGGAAGGAATAGAATCAATACAGGCTATCAGATTAATGGATTATTGACACCAGGTGGCTGAGAGAAGACTCTGCTGTTTGCTGGTGCTATCAGATGTAATGCATCCATCCCTTAGGTCATGTTTGCTGGCTGTGGTGGTCACTTGTACAGTTAATGCTGTTCTCCTGCAAATTGTGTGCAAAACATTATGACCATTTCTGCAGTAGAGATAAGTAAGATATTGTCAAGCCCACACAAATGTTTCAAGTAACCTCAAGAAAGGGCTTCACTTTTTCAGAGGTCTGTCTGTCTTTATCTGTGTAATACCCAGTTCTATCTATATGGGAAAAGCCCTTCTCACAGTTGCTGACACATGATGAATCACTTCCTGAAACTGGTAGTGCTATAATTTATAATTTATGAGGATCTGAAACATTTCTCATTGTCTGATAAACAGAACAATCAAAATGATGCTGTTTAGATAGGACTAAATAATTGGAAAAGGGGAATGAAGGAAGTATCAGCATGGAGGAGTCAATGAGTAGTGCCTGAAGGAAATGGAAATAGTCATCCCTATGGTTGATCTTCTGTGTCCTCTTGTCCAACTTGGGAGAAGATACTTCCTGGAACATACCATGAATGATAAATCATTTGAGCTAAAATACACAAAATACTTTTTTTACTTAAATGGATTAAATAGATTATAAAATGTTCTGTTTTCTTCTTGTCCCAACAATATTATCATGAAGGCAAGGTGATTGCATCACTGAGATTCTTAGCAAGATTGTGGAAACATAGTTTCACGCCGATGGTTGTCCTATAAGACTAGGAGCATGAAAAATGACATAGGAGGACTAATCATGGTACATTATAACTCAAGCGTGAATGCATAAATAGTACTTGAAATATCAGCATAAGCAATAATAAACCAGTAGTATTTCTCAACTTGTTTACTCCAAGTGGCATTTTTATTTGTTTCATAGGATAGTTTCTAACCAGTGATTCAGACTAGCTGATAACATGGTACTAACTCTGTGAAAGTGCAGCTGCCGTAGCAAAGAGCCTTACTAGAAGAAAGAGCTCGGAGATGGAGCCTGGACGACACACTTCCTTAAAGACATCAGAACAAGCGTATTTGCTCAGGCTCACAGGAAGTGTCCATCTGACAGGATTCTGCCTCTGGGAGTGGTCACTGTGCATGTTTAGAGAAAAAATGTAAGGAAATTTCAAACATACAGGAGCATTTCACAGTGTTCGTACCTTTTTGGCATTATGTGCTTTGTGGCTTATGGTTCTCCTGAGCTAGAAGTCATATTTTTGTGTTTGCGGTATGCCCGGTGGACACTGTTTCTAGCACAGTTTGACAGGATACTGTGTATTAGAAACAAGGTATGTTGACTGATAATCGGTAGTTTAGCTTCTGTCTTCTGTTTTACTTAAATTTTAACTAAATTACAGCTGTTCTCACTTTACTGCAGGAACTGTGCAGCATGCCTATTTGGAAAACAAATCAGATAAATGTTTTTTGTTTTGTTTATGTAATGGAGTCATTACTAACTTATTCCTGAGTAAGCTTGTTGCTACTTAATTTTTGCTATAAGACCTTCTTGTTTTAAACTTTACTTTCAAGGAAAGCAATTTCTGTTACTCTATTATGAAGAAAGTCCTGCTTAAGATATTCAAATATCAACAGTGTTATTAGGAGAACCAAAAAGAGTAGGATACACTTTTCAATTCATTTAGCTCAAGTCAGCAAGATATTCTTGAGAGGCTCATGGGCTGTGGAAATAGGCAACAGATTTACAGACAGTTTGAAAGAAATAGCACTTTTTTCCTCGTTTGTCTTCTTTGCAACCCAGAAAGCTCTTGACAGGGGCGGGGGGAATATTTGTTCTAAATTAATTTTAACCAGTTAAGTGTGAGGTGATTAATATAACTTTGCTAGAAATAATTTTATACTCTTACAGCAAATTTGTTTTAAAAACGAAAATGATTTACAATCAGTTAACTTGAAAATTGAAATGAATGTGACTTGTCACATGCAGCTTGTGAAGTACGAAAGGGTTGCTAAATATTTCAGTCAGGACTATTTTTCAAGGCAAAGTATCATTTGTTACTGCAACAAAAGTAAGGGACTTGAAAGTAAACATAAGCTCCGTTTTGAAATAAAAGGAATAATGCAGTATTGCACATATTTGCGAAGTGATTATCACATCATTATGGAGGTATATGGAAAGCTGAAAACAAGAGAGGTAGGAGAAAGCAGTTTTTTCTTTAAATTCAAATATTGGTATAAAGGAAGGCAAACTCTTCTTTTGGTCTTCAGGAAAAAAAATATAGCTGTACTTGAACGGAGCAGTGTGTTTACATCAAATTTCCCAGGCATCAGGTTGCTCCAGACATCTGTGTACTTTGTGTACTTAACAAATTCTTCTCCTAGATGTCTGCTGAAGCCCAGAATTGAAACATAAACCCTATGACATGCTACACTGGAGGAACTCAGCCAGGACCGGATGTATTTACGTTCTCCCAGTATCCCTGTCACACTGCCTTAACTTTTTGGTTCAATGGACAATAACACACTGAAAAGGTTGTAAAAAATTCCTGCCTTTGTTAAGTGCTGAAGCGCTGCTGATATTTTTTGGTCTTCAAAACCTAAACAGAACTTCAGAAAACTAAGAATGAGTTTCAGAAAAAGCGAGAAGTTTTATTTTATAAAACAGCAGAAAGAATACACGTTGAAATCTGCTTACCGGACATAATCTGATATGGCATTGACTTGCTCTTTGCCATATAAAACATTCATGAAGAATGTTCTTTCCAGGAAATCAGTATTTATGAAGAATGTATCTGCATTACAAAAATTGATTATGGGAGCAAAGCAGGTTCTATGTATTGCGGGAAAAATATTTGAAAGTAGAGAAGAAAACTTTCTAATGTATATTTAGTTTTATCTGCATTCATAACACTGTTGTATAAAGCTTTTTGATTTTGCATTGTTTGAATATTGCTTTCTTGGAAAATAGGTATGTCAGCCCAATAGCATCATATTCCTTTTGTTTAAAAAGAATGATCAATCAGAGATTTTACTTGTGGTTTT